ATATGGTGGCGAACCCGACAGCACCTAAATGATTGATTAGCTGATATTTCTTTAGAATTAAATACTAACATAACGTAAGCTATTAAGAAAAGTGCCACCATAACTCAAATTCCCATTACACAACGATAAGAAAACAGTACCGAAAATTTGCATGACGTGCAAGCTTTGTTGACTAAACAATGTAACAACCTCACCCTTAACTTAAGTAGATTATTAGCGTATAAAATATGATACGTGAACCGTTAGTTTCCCAAATCTGATGTTTTAAAATTTAAAAGTTTTAATGCAAATATATATATATATATATATATATATATGTCAACGTAGGAGAGCCATGCAATACATGTAAATTTACAGATCATAAACACTTAGTTTTACTACAGCACTATTTTTGATTGAATTAAAAGTGAAAAAGAAAGCAATTCTGACAATAATTATATAGTCCTCAATTATGAAAAAGAACTTCAGAAATTTAGAAAAAGAAACAGTTTAAAATGAGATGAATTTTATGCAATAAAAGAACAGCATAAGACAGAACATAGGGAAATAGATAATGAAGACATGAGACCGTATCATGGCAAAAGAAAACTGCCAGGAGTGAAGCAAAACAAAAAGAAGTGAAAATGCTAGAATTAGAAGCAGCATGTGGCTAACCTATAATAAAGGTGAAAGGATGAGAAATAAGTTTTGTCGAGGGAATAAATCAAAATGGATGGGAGGCACAGAGTTATTACTACAAAAAAAAAAAAAGTCACTCAAATTAAAAATAAAAGATGAACAGTACTATTTTAGTTATGAAATGTTTCTTCATCAGACTTCAATATGGCTGTTAATAGGTACTGAGATTCCCAGAGGAGTTCATTCACTAGGATGTCTTAATATTCAAGCATATCAACTAATACGCAGCAATTGTTTTACATTTTGATCAAGCAAAAACGTTCTTTAGGCTGTGGTTTTTCCAGGTTTATCTCCAAGGTTCTCCAAGTCATATAAAGGCATTACCAATGACCCTCACTCATCTAATTTTCACACGCCTTAATGTGATGTTCTTTACATTTAAAATTTCAGTTGCAAAATAAAAATTATGAATTTGCCATTACAAAGAAGAAATTAGTTGAAAAATAATATATCAACCAATACGCTGCAATTGTTTTACAGTTTGATAACATGAGCAACTCTGTAAATAATTCATGGAGATATCCAAGTAAATCTAATGATATAAATGAAAGGAAACACGTTTTGTTTATGGGGCTAAAAAAAAAAGAAAGAAGACCAAGTAAATAAAGAAAAAAAAGAAACGCAGTAAAGCCAGTAGTATGCAGTTGAACAAGATCAATTATAACATAAACCAATAAAAGCAGGGATTTAGAAGTTAAAAAAAAAAAATATAAAAAATAAAAAAAAAAAAAAAAAAAGATAAATGCCTAATATAAGTGAATCGGGATACTTAAGTAGCCCTAAACCATAAAACAAACACACGCACAACGCCAGAGTGCACAGTTAGTACCTCAATGTAGCTGCAAAAGTCACTCCATTACATGACTTTCGCGAGAGCAAGGCAACTGTACAGAGTGGTAGAATTGTATATAGGCCAAAGTTAGAGAAATGCACATAGATACACACACACATACACTTTATCAATGGAAAACAATTTGCGCACACACACACACGCGCGCACACACACACGCGCACACACACGCGCCCACACACGCGCGCGCGCGCGCACACACACGCGCGCGCACGCGCACACACACACACACACACGCGCGCGCGCGCACACATACCTACAGAGGTAGGTTTGTAAGTATATAAAATGACATAAACGTCACAATAAATAACACTAACAAAATAGGCATAAGCAAAGGCTTAGCATTAATAGACCAAGTGGAGATCTCACACTGCATCAGCTATACTAGTGATCCAACCTTTTAGAAGGTTATTTCAAGAAGAGTTAACAATTTGCCCCAGATTGCAATACAAATTGAAATGGCCAAAATCAAAAAAAGATTATAGATTTGCACGTATAATAGCACCAAACATGTCATGTATAAACATTACAACAACAAAGCCTTAATCCCACTACGTGGGGTCGGCTACCTGAATCCTTTTTCTCCATTGCATTAATCACACTGCATCAGCCATGTATAAACATTAAAAGGCAAAAAAAAATGTCCCATAATATACCAAGAATAAATATAATAGCTTAACCAAAATTAACAAGAGCTGAGAAACTACAAAGCTATCTAGTGTGAACACTTTTCAAATTGCTTATGCAATGTCTGCTCGGAGAAGCAATGTTTAATGAGTAATGCCTTCTCTTTTAAGTAACAAGAAAAGATTAGAAAAAAATTGTCCAGAATGCTTCACACTTATCAGAAAAAATTAAAAAAAATTAAATAAATGGAAGCAAACAAGTATGCTGCATGACATTAAAAATGTAAAATTGTTTCAAATAAACACATAAATAGTGATATGAATAGGAGATGGTAGTTGATTTGCTATAATCTAGCTTCTTAACACACCATTACAATAAGAACTGTTCATTAAAATTCTTATGTTACTTGATATTTCATGTGTTAATACATTCTATTTACCTCCAGTAATACGCCAGATGAACAAAAACCATCAAATTGCCTTTTAAGATGACCATTTGTAGCAACAAACTTTAGCTTTTTCAAAAATAGGCCATTGTAGCTTGTCCAAGGAAAATAAATGATGATACATGCATGGTTACATCCCTCTAATGTTTGGATATCCACACGAATTATAAATAACAAAAAATTCATCGAAGTGATTATTGTTAAATAATAAAAATAAAACTTAACAAAACAAATATATTATCATGTAATAAATAAGCATTGAATTTGAAGTCAGGATCCCAAAAATTTGCAAGTTCACAGAATGGGCTAGGTCTGCAAATGTTGCAGATGATCATGAATATAAATAAAAAAACATGGTTCTAGAAAATACAGGATCAGGACAGCTAACTATTGCCACAGACAATAGGCCAATTACTGAGAACTCAAATAAACATGTTCATTTCCACCATTAAATGTGAAGGCATTCAACAATAAATAAATTTGTGGTAATAATGGACCAAGCTGACAAACAAAAACAGGTATTGTCAGACATCCTGCCACGAAACAAAGCATGTACACTGTACTCTAAGAAGATAATAGAAAATCTATAGAGAATTGTTAATCATCACAACATTACATAAAGCATATATGCATCACGTAGTTACAAGCGATTATTAGAATAACTGAATTCCAACAGCATAGAAATTGTTTGAACTATAACTACTAAACATGGGCTAAGAAAAAAAAAAAATCAATTTTTCTATATATAAAAAGCACATGAAACATTAGATGTCAGTCATTCAAGTGCAGCAAACGCAATTGAGCGCATTTGAATCATGAATCTGTATATTTGAAATGATAAGATGCGGTTAGAGAAATTGGTGCAGCATTAACCTTTACTGCGTGCATAGTTTTTAAGATAAATGAGATATATATCATAGCACAAACATGATAACCAAATCTCAACATTACATATCAAAAGTTAAGTAAATCTATATTAATTAAAATGAACAATGGAGATAAAACGATACAGTACTAGTTAAAAGTAATTAAAGCTACTTGAAATTTAGCAACAATGAAGCAGTGGCAACTCAGTAACATGATTCTTCTAGCAGTTATGAGAACATCAAGCTCAAGCGTGAAAATTGCCAAAGCATTAGAAGTAAATATAACAATATATGTAAAACAGGGAGCAGAAACTAGAGGGAGAGATGGAAAAAATTGGTATAGACAAAGGAAGTCTCGTTATCTTAAATACAACTCAAAGCACATTCAAGTAAATTTTTATGAAAGTATAGTAAAGAATATAAAATTTTCAGAAATATCGAAAAGAAACAACTCTGACAAATAATTCTCATGACATTGTATATAAAAAGCGCATATGGTAACTAACAATACAAAAAATTTGGTTAACATAGACGTGCCCGCCACGATGGAATGGGTAACTCACTATTCAGAAGAATCATTTATTTGCAGCCAAATATTCTGTAACATATAAATACAAGCATAAATTTAACCTATAAACCAAAAGTAAATGACAAGTAATAAAAAGACCACACTTATCTTCTGATCTGCATCTTTAGTTCAATTGGTCCGAGAAAGAAAGGCTAGGTTGCCTTGACTTCAATCCAAAGTTGAAGCACAGTGGATGTGAACACTTTTTAATAATATATACTATGTGGTCCCCACTTTCAATACAAAACCGCAAAACAAAACAGAACAAAGCGTAAAAATATTAAAATGCAACAAAAAAAAAACTGCAAAATTCCCGAGTAATGAGATTCATCATAGATTTAAATCAAACATGCAAAAGAATTGAAGCTTCATATTGTCAACATCGCTTGCTTTCCATAGCATGTACAAGATGCACAAGCATGAAGGAAGTTCTGCATATTTTATTAGTATATTAAAAAAACACTGCAGAAGTTCTCCAGCTGAAAGTGCACAAATAAATTAAACTAATTCCCCTTATATAATTAAAGGATATACACCAACCATACGCATCAAAAAACAGTTAAAAAATGCTGAAGTATAAATGTGCATCATATAGTACAAATCCAAGCCAGTGAAAAATTACGCCAAACATTTGATTATCTCAAATGTGGTGACAGCAATAGAATTGGTTGGAGAGATAATCAAAAGAATTTATTTCAAAAGGAGAAGATTCTCAAATAAATACAGCAAACATAAGAAAAAAAATTCAAACCCCAAAAAGTGCTCAGGGCATAAGATACTAGTGAAAACCCTCTTCATCTTCCACTACAGTTCCTACTTCAATTGCTTAATAAAGAAAGGGCCATGTTATAGGTTGCTTCAATATACATTTGGGTGCATAGTTCAATTGGTTATGCAAATATAATTTTTAATGAAAAAACCAAGCTACTGTTGCCAAACCTAGTAGAACCAACCAGAGAAAAAATAAACAGCCAAAAAATGAAAATAAAACAAATACAAGCTTAAAAAGTTTTTAGCAGAAAGGTACAATACTTAATTATCCGATTGTGATGAAGGAAAGAAAATCTTCCTCTTTCCTCTCATAGGTGATGGGAATTGTTGTTACCATGAAAAAATCTCCTAAAAGTAGGCGCAAAGAAATTCCTTCCAGCAATAAAACCTATCCTCTTCCAATGCCCTGTCCTACCACTGCTGCTTGAAGGAACATCCAGTGAGGAAAATGGATCAACCAAAACTGGAATCTCCTCTACACCATTATCCATCATGCCACTCTCACTCATGCATGCCTCCTGCAGTTCAACCTGATTGATGTTGTCCAAATTCACGGCCAATGAAGCTCTGGTAGACCTCAACCAATCAGCCACATGTGGAGTAACAGCCCTGCATTTCTTTACTTTAACCTTGACTAGGTTAGGACATCCATCAGCGAGAGCTTCCATCCCTTGATCAGAAACAGGGCAACCCTTAATACAAAGCTTCTTTAAAGCCATGCACTTCGCAGCAATACAAGAAATTTCCTTATCACCAAAAGTCTCACTTCCACAAAGAGCCAATCTTTCTAAATTTCTACAATTACTTCCAATAAGTCCGAGGCTGAGAGAAGTGGGATTAACCCCAATCAAAACAAGTTCCTGCAGGTTAGGGCAACGTTTTGCAACGGCCATAAGACCTTCATCGCCAATCCTATTTGTCTTCCAACCATCGATATGTATCTTTCTCAGCAGCCTGCATTTCTCGGTAAAAGCAATTAGTCCGGCGTCAGTGCACTCTGGCGTCTTGACGAGATGAAGCACCTCCAGATTGGTACAGTATGAAAGAGCAAAGAGACCACGATCGCTGACCTGCAGCTTCTCAAGATGGACCTCGACAAGGCCGGTCACCTTCTCTGCAACATCTTCAAGAATGCAATCCCACTCGCCGGCACACCGGAAAAGCTTGAGCGTTCGAAGATTTGGCGAGCTGGCGATGACTGGGCCAAAGCACTGGCCATTGTAGAGCTCCTTGAGACAAATAGACCGGAGAGAAGAAGAAGAAATAGCAATATTACTGCCTGCCTCGTTCAACCCCCGGAGGCGCTTGATTGAGAGTTCTTCTAGGAGAGTACATCCACGTAGGACGGCCTCCACACCACGAGCACCAAAGGTACAAGATCCGCAAGATAGCTTACGAAGACTAGGGCAATGTTTCGCTAACACAGACATCCCAGCCTCCGTTAGCTCTCGACACGCCCGGAGCTTCAAGCGGGAGAGATTAGGGCAACGCTGCGCGATGAGACCAAGCGCCTCATCGCCGATGCTGTCGGTACGGCGATCACACTTGAGAGCCAGTTTCGATACCGCATCAAAGCGCGCAAAGAGTGACGGAACTGCATCCAGGAGCGCGGCCCGAGCGTCAATAGAGAGGCGATGGCGGTTCTGACCCTCAATCGCGAACCATCGCCAACAGACCAAGGAACACCGCTTTCGGTCGCTAGACCCAAGTCCCTGAAATATTAGGGCAAGCACCTCGCCGGGAAGCTCCGCTGTGTGATCTCGAGCGGTCTCGCCGGATAGATAAACATCAGAATCGGAATCTTCGGAACTCATAACGAAAGAGGTGCAGCTTCGAGAGCGACGAGAGGCAGCAGATGCCTGCTTCAAGGGAGATGAAATAGACTGCCCCATCGATAGCAGTTGGTCTACTTCTGCGAACTTACCGTCTTATCTAGCTCCGGCGAACGCAACGGCGAAGATTCTTGCCATCGATCGCATCCGTGAGAAGAATGGGAGGCCGGAACAACAAGAGCAGTCCTGCGAGGAAGAAGGGATGTTGAAAACGGACTTCAAATGGGGATTAAATTCATTTCATTTTCTTATTTAATTTTCTTTCTTTTTCATTTTTTTTTGGTAGAGGGATTATTTAATTTTCTCAATTTCATTTTTATCATACAATCTGATACTATTAATTTTCTCTATTTCATTTTCTCGGGTGCAGCTGAATATATCACGAGTTGGAAGTACGGTGCTGATTAGATCGTGAGGTGTAACGAAGAAAAAGAGGCCGTCAATGTAAGTGAGTTGCGTCCCGATATGTAATCTCGAAAAAATGTCCCGCTTTTGAAGCGGTAGACGCCGCGAGGACGGTATTATTACGGTTCCAAGTCCAACCAACTCTGGGGCCCGCGGGGCTAAGTCATCATATTTGGAATCTCATAAACTACCGGTGTCTCAAGGAGCTCATAATAGAGAATCTCAGCCGTTGGATCATAAAGACCCATTTATCCAACCGTTAGAAGTTTAGAGATCGTGATCAAACGGTTATGAGGGTTTGTCTGCTGGATTTAAACGGTGATTACTTTTGTTAACTATTTTATGATCTTATTATTTTTCTTTATCCATTTGTTTCTAGTGGTTTGTTAATTGTCAAATCGGAATCACGGTGACTTGAGCAATAGCGGGAGAAATATTTGCGTACGAAAAATGTATACATGATTGCGTATATTTTAAATTATTCGAATGGTATAATTAAGTTACACTTAAGTTATATCCCTTATAATTCTTCCTGTAACCTAAGTGTGACTTAGTTGTACCCTCCGAATAACCTAAAATATACGCAACTCTTCGTACGTTTAACGTACGCAAATATTTCACCTTGTGGGAAGGGGCGATTATTGTGTATGGACACCACAGATAAATTTATATTTCTTGTCCGACCACTAAAAAACTTTTTTTTTCTATTTTCTTTATTGTTATAGTGAAGCCAACTCAAATTTTTTGAAGGTCCTGATCGACTTCGCACACAAATTTACATGCGGTATCCACACACAATAATTTCTCGTGGGGAGGAGGCCTTATTTGATTAAGAAAAAAAAATCGAATGGTAAAAGAGGGCAGCAAATGCAAAAAAAAAAAAAAAAAAAACATTTTTTAAGGGACAACGAATAATTCTTATGCATTTATATAATTCATATCTAAATTTTTTTTTCTCTAAACAACATTTAAATCTATGATATCATATACAAAATAATGCAATTATTTCTTTTTAAAAGTGAAATATTTTAAACATATATTTAAAAAATCAAAGTGATATTTTTGTAAATATGAATGCTTAGATGTGAAATATGTAAATACATAAAATTGTGTGTTTCATATGTAAATTTCCCTTTTTTTAATTGAAAAAAATAGTAGAATTTCTTTTTGAAATATTTTGTTTGATATTTAACATTTAAATTTAAATTTAAGTTTTTTATCCTTGAATTCACCACATACAAATGAAATATTTAATTTGTATTTGTTACATTCTAGAGAGATAGAGAAAGAGAACGATGAAAGGATAGTCCAAGAGTTTTGGAAAGAGATGCATTTATGTTTTATAAGTCATATGTCTAGATCTAATTGTCTTCCTTTTTGGACCTTTGACGCCCCTTCTTTTTTAAAATTTAAGGGAAACCTCAGTCCAATATATAAATGAAAAAAAAAATAATATATGTATACAAATGTGTATGACAACATGATGTATGTAGATAAAAGTGTATGATGTCATTATTTTTGAATGGTGCTATGATATTTCTGGTAATTTGTGTTGTGCACAACCCTTGTTGTTTGTCGATGTGTTATTCAACAGATAGAAGGGTTGCTTAGTGGATCGATTCATAATTTGGCTAGTTTCAGATACCACCTGTCATGTATGGTTGTGCTACATGTCATATGAATTTCTTGGTCTTGCCATCGACACACTCCTAGGTTGTTTTTGGCAAGTTGCTTGTTGTCATGGGTCTAGGGCAAATAAATGTTTTGATAAAGTCACATCCTCGTTTCACATGGCTAGCAGTGAGTTAACAACTTAGTTTATGCCTATACCCACCCGCAAACTTCCTCCAATGAATGTGACCCAATTTGTGACTAATGAACCCATAAATCATCTCCATAGGTTGTTAGATCTCAATTGACATGTTAGATTTTTTAATGTATAGTATCCCTTCTAAAATTTTAGAATTTGAAGTTTTAAATAATTAACAAAAAAATTTTATAATATTTTAAATAGCTAATTTATGTTTCTCTTGCACACTTATTTACAAGGTTTCAATTATTTTATACTTAAAATGTAATTTCCAAATTCTTTGCCAAAAATTTTTTTGCATGTCATTATATACTCATATGTTATTATATAATCATTTGATCAAGCATAAATCTAGATGTATCCCAAAATTTAATGACTTCTAGAAGTAACATTGAACCATCTAAACTCAAATTGTAACAAATTTATTTATTAAATATCTAAACAAGACGATCCCAAGAGCATTAAAGGGGAATTATATGAGTCAAATTAAGCTTAAATCAAGCATTTGAAACATAATTAAAAATTAAAATATTATTTAAGTGATCAAATTTTCTTAAAATCTTTGATGATTACAATTAATTTGAAAACCTCCACAAGAGAAACCTAACAAGCCTAAAGTTACTTAATTTTAGAATCATTACTACACTTAAATATTTAAAAAATATTTTAAATATTATTTTTAAACAATGGGCCTCTCAAAAGCTCCCAATATAGTATCTAGATTTTGGCAATATTTATGCAAAGAATGCCCCCTATAAAATCTTATAATAGACCTTCAATCACATTAAAAGATATATGGACTAAAAATTTGAGAAAGAGCTCAAATGCATGGGGCATTCTTGAACTTTCCCAAGCCATAATTATTGGACCCTCCACACCCAACTACAGTTATTGGTTAGCCACCGCTTGTCCACTACCAAAAAGCTACCATCGCTCAATTGCCACTATCAAAATATTGCCTCCCTATAACCACCATTGAACTTTCATTGCCTAAACACTGTGTTAAACGACCACTGCTAATTCATGATCATCACATAGTTATTTCCTTCCTACCATTATGAGAACCCCACCATCCATCAATCACAATTTGATCATTAAGGTTTGACGACATTGGTTCAACAATAATCCTCATGAGATTTTCATTTTCATTAAACCATTGTCATTTATCCATTTTTATGGAATCAACGAATACATTTGACTACATTCAATTTTCCTGCATATGTTTTTGTAATTAATCAACAAATACATCATATGGCTCTTGCTACACTTGCCTAATGTAGATGCACATGCATACAGTGGAACAATCAAATGAGATGCACATCATCAAGATGCTTCATATTTAATGAATATTGGTTGCCCTAGGTAAGGGGCATCATGAGGGATACTACACCTCACCTAGATAACAACTAATATGATCACGCAAATGAAAAACCCATTTTAAGCATGATATACATTTATGAATGGCTAGATATGTATGCTGACTGTGATATCAATTCACAATATTCTTAAAAGAAAAGTATTTTTCACACCCTTGAGAAATAAAGACATAAAGCCACTTAATTTTCCATTCAAAACCAAAATTTAAAACAAGGTAAAGTATATAATATTAGCATATTTTTAGGCATTTAATCAAATATAAACATAGGAAAATAATTCATATGCAAACTTGAAATTATACCTTGCATGAATTTGTGTATTTTAATTAATACATACACAAAATTAGACAAAAGTTACATACTACTGTGCCTTTTGAAGTGCTTGCGAACACATCATGAAAATCAAATTGACATGATTACCTCACTAGACTAAACTTAATAAGAAAATGAGAACATTTCATCAATTAAATGAGGTTGATTCATTAATAGGATGGTATTTTTTCATTAACAAAATAAAATCAATTATTTAAATCAGGTTTAAGTAACATTAATCGAAATTAAATAATTAACTAATTGAAACTAATTAATTAATTAGAGGTAGTCAATTAAATCATTAATAGAGAAATAATTAACAAGTTGATTGAGATTAACTAGGATTAATTAATTAATTAATAATTTAGAAAAGGTAATTAATTAATTAACAGAGATTAATTAATTAATTAATTGAGATTTAAATATTAATTAATTAATTAAATGAAGTTAATTAATAGTTAAAAGTGATTAATTAAATAAGAATAATTAATTAATTAGGATTAATAATTAATTAACAGAGTTTATTTAATTAATTAATTAATTAAATAAGATCTATTAATAAATTAAAAGAGAAAAATAAATAATTAATTAACAGAGATGGATTAATTAATTGAATATGGTTAATTATTTATTGAAAAAGGTAATTAACTTATTAAGAGAAAATAATTAACTAATTAGAAAATATAAATAAATTAATTAAGATTAATTAATTAATTAAAAGAGGTAATTATTTAATTAAAGGACTAATTAATTATATAAATAAGATTGATTGATTAATTAATTAATTAAAGGGTGACTAATTAATTAAAAAAACATATTTAAATAATTTGATAAGAATAATCAATTAATTAACTAATATTAATTAGCTAATTAAATGAAATCAACCAATTAATTAAAGGGGGTCAACTGAGATTAATTAATCATTAATTATATAAGATTAAGATGATAAATTCAAGCTCATCATATTAAAGGAACCAACTCATTCATCGAAACAATTTTAGCTCATTAATCACACTCAAACATAATTTTCACGTGCAAGAACACTTAAGCAAGACTTTCAAATGCATTAGGGTATCAAATACTAGAGTTAAAATTGTTAAGCATCTAAACATATAATTTTTGTGTTTTTTCATAAGAATCTACATTGGATAAACATGGCATATGCATATGCAAGAATTATATATGTTTTTCACACCACACATTTAATCCATTATAATAGCAAACCTTCTATTCTCTAACACCCTCACATATGATCAAAAAGAGAAAAGGAAAAAAAAGCTAAGGCTTAAGGAGAAAGTTCAAAAGAAACACATTGCTTTA